GGGGTCTGTTTGGGGGGAAAAAAAAGAGAGAGATGAAGGGTCCTGAGGGTCTGCAGCTGCCACCGGTGCTGCTGCCAGAGGATGAAATCTCAGCCCTAAAGCCCCAAGGGCTCAGCACCGCTCAGGACCCACAGCTTGGGGCAACGCAGGGGCAGACTCTGACCACGCACTTACGTCGGATGGAGGATGGTGCGGGGTCCCGGGTGGTGCTGCTGCCTCCTCCAGCGCCGTGCCCACAGCCGAGCCGATGCTCTTTGTTCCCAGGGAGTCCTTGTCCGCGCTCAGGGGTTTTCATCCTCGCATGGGCACCTCTGGGACGGGGAGCGGAGCCATGGCTGGAGCTGGAGCTGGGCAGAGGACACCAAGCCGTTGCCTGACTGCCGTCCCATCCTGGCAGCTTCTCTCCCGTGGCTCCATCCATTCCAAACGCAGCTGCCCGATGGCCAGGGCCAGGCTGTCCCACCCAATGTCTCCCCATGGGACCCTTCCCATTGAGCAGCCAGAGCTCGTCGGGCCTGAGCATCCGTCTGGAGGGCAGGACTTGGGGATTTTGGGACTCTCAGCCCTGATCCTTTTGTGGATGCTCCTGTGAGCGTCCCCCATCCATGCCGAGGCGGCTGGGCTTGCTGGGCCGTGTCTGGGTTTATCCCCGGGTGACTTGTCTGGGTATGTGGTGGGCGAGAGTGGAGCGAGCTTGCAGCAAGTGACTGTGGAGGGGAGGCTCGTTAGGAGCTGTTAGGAGATGCGGGAGGAAGCGTAAGCGAGGGGCATCTCTAACCATGCTGGAGGGTTTGGAAAGGGTCCAGAAAGCTGCAGGAGAAATCCCAGCTCCGAAACCCAACCGAAGAAAGGGGCTGTGTTCGGGGCGAGCGAGCTGCGTGCCGTCAGCCCAGCAGGCGAGGAGGAGAAGGGAGGTGGGGAAACGGGAGTTTGCTGCGTGAAAGGCCCTCTGTGCTGCCCGGCCGAGCAGGGAGGCGGCACGAAGCGGGTTTATGTGATAAGGGAGAAACTCTTCCCTCCCAGGGAGGCATCGCCCTGGTCTGGGCTGTGCGCTGGGGTCGGCGCTTGGTCCCTGGTGCCCGTGGTCTCCTCCCGAGGACGGCTCCTGGCCCTGCCTCGCTGCCTGGAGGCTGCTGTGACTCAGAGCTGGTTCCTGCGATGGCGTGCGCATCTCCTGCCCCCTCCTCGCACTGCTCTGAGAGCATTAAGAGCTCGCTGCGGGAAGAGCTCTTAATGCATCCCTGCCCAGCATCCCCCCGGTAATGCTGTCCCCCGAGCGAGCGGGTCCCTTGCTCGTCCTCCAGACCTTCCCCCACCCTCTTGCCCCCTGCTACCCGCTGTTACGTGGCTTTTTCTGGTCCTTGAAAAAGGGGAAGAGGCAGCTTGGCAGAATTAATCAGTGCAGCGATGCTGGCTGTGCATCCTGGGGGGGATGCTGGGGGAGCAGCCGGGCCGGGCGCGGCTCGCAGGCGGTCCTGGAGGGTGCTGGGAGAATGCACGGGGGGAAACCAAAACCCTCCTTCCTCCCAGCGCTGCTTTCTCCACTCTCTTCTTCTTGTAGCCCCTGGCCCACTCCTTTCTCACAGGGGTGAGGTTCAGACCAAAGGGACTTGATTTTTTTGTGAGGAGCAACGTGATGCTCGTTGGTACACGGTGCTGGCCTTTCCCTCCCCTTGTCAAGGGCGGCATTTATTTCCCGGTCCCGCACAGGCTGATTAGCATTTGGGTGTTTGGCTAAGGCTGCCCTTGACTTTCCTATCCAGTATTTAAATTGCAGGGGAATACACATCCATGCAGAAGCCTGGAAGCCTTTTTCTGGGGCTTTGCTGGTGCTTTCGCTCCTCCCGGGATGTGGGTGCCCCTCAGAGCGAGCACTGGCCTCCCCGCCAGGGAGAGAGGGTTTTGCTGAAGGCACACAGGTTTTGAGCCTCGTTGTTACTTAAACCCCATAAAAGCAGCAGTGATGTTTAATTTAGATGCAAACCAAAGTAGGGAGCACAAGCCCTGTCCTGCTCCTTCACGGTGTCTGTGAGGATGGACTTGAGCTTGAGAGAATCCCTGAAGTCCCTGATGAGGATGGAGGAGGGTGATGGGGGTGGAGAGTGAGCAGGGGGCTCATGGCTTTGGGTCTTGAGAGGAGCCTGCGCAGCCTCGCTGCGGGGAGCACGTGTTTTTTCCCCGCTTTGCTGCCATTTTTATCAAATAATCTCTCTCCAGTTTACCCAAGGCCTCGTAGCAGGGGCCAAACCCAGGTGCGGTACCTGGAGGTGAGCGAAAAGGGCTGAGCCCAGTGGGGGACTGCGTCCAGCCATCCCCTGTGGCTGCAGCCTGGGATGCTGCTGGCTCAGGTTTGCTCGCCCTGACCTGGGGCTTGGCAGCAGAGCCCGTATCGGGGGTTAATCCGTCCCAGGGACGGGACTTGCAGCGTAGCACCCCCAGCCTGCATCCCGAAGGGATGCTGAGCCGGTGAATCCCGGGGGAGACAGGTTCATCTCCTCCTAGGCTGGGAGAGATACCCTGCGTGGGCACCACGGAGCTGGCTGCTCGTCCCATCCCTTGGCAGGTCCCTTGGGAGCGCTGAACTCCTCGTGGCCGTGATTAATCCACAGATCAGCCGCGGGGGGGGGAATAACGTGAAAAAGGCATCTGCGACCTCGGCACAGCGAGGATCGGCTTTATTTCCACCGCCTGTGTGGGCAGGAGCATCCCTAGGAGTGATGGGGGGGTCTCGAGAGCCGGGGAGATGAAAGTGCCGGATCCCGTCCCGCTCCTCCCTGCGCTGCTCCCCATCACCCTGCCTGGGGCCGCGGGGATGAAGATGGGCGAGGGGAGGAGGGCGGCTGGAGGGAGGCAGGGAGCTGCCAGGAGAGCGCCGGAGCTGCCAGGGGCTGAAGAATGGCTGAGAGCAGAAGAAGGGGCTTTAGAGCTTAATTTCCTGTCCCCGCGGTGGGGATGGGATTTGTGCTGCCATCTCCAAGGAGACGCCGGCTGTGTGGCCGCAGGAATACTAATGGCATGGGAGGCGTGCGGCGGGGGGCTCCGGGGGCGCACCAAGCCCCTCCTCGGCCAGGCTGCGGGGTCCGAAACCAGCCCAGCAGCTCCTGTTTCTGGAGGCTGTTTCACTTTCGGGGGGCCTAGGAGCCCCCCAGGACTTGCTGTTGGGGGAGTGGAGGGTGTGGAGGGACATGAGGGCATCTTGCCATACCCTTGGGAGCGTGTTGGTGACCGCCTTGCCGCGATGCCCGTGGCTGGGGGACAGAGCTGAGCCGCTGCGTGTGACATCTGGGCCCCCCCTTATTGCGCTATGGGGGCGGCTGGGTTTTGGGGGGCACCCACGGGTGTTTGCAGTGGTGGCTCTTAGACACTCGCCTCTCCGAGCATCGCGTGGAGCTGCCCTGGACGCCGGTTTGAAATGCCGAGCCCTGCGCCGGCACCGGAACCGCAAACTGCCTCCATCCCAGCGGGTTTTGGGGTGCCTGTCTGGAAAGTTCAGAGGCACCCGCCTGCCGTGGCAGAGAAAGGGGATGTCCCCCCCAGACAACGGATACATTTCCCAAGCCTGCGCTGTTATTTTGGGGGAGGTTGGTTATTTCAGTGCTGGGAAGCGAGGGCGGTTTAAAACGAGGGCAGCGAGGTCTTCGCGACGGTGCCTTTGGCGTTGGGGGGCGGGAGGATGAGTTTGGGGAGAATATGTCTTGTGGGAGCTCAGAGCTGGCGTGCTCTGGGCAGAGCCGGGGGATGCTCCGGGAGAGCCGGGGACTGGCGGGGCAGGGGAGCAGGGACACGTCCCCCAGGATGGACGGGGAGCGAGATCCCGCAGGAGCTTATCCTGGCCGTGTCTTACGTAAAGGGCCACGGGCTGGGCTGTGGGGGGTGTAATTAAACCTGATGCTGATGAGCTGCTGCAAGCTGCTTAGTACCGATGTAATGAGGGGAATCGCAGCCAGGGTCCCCCGCTGTCGGCCCCCGTGTCCCTCCCTGCTGGGAGCAGCGGCGGTGGCAGCACCTGCCCTTCCCCATGCCAGGGCGAGGGGGCGGCCCCAAAAGAGGAGCGGTGTTGGGACAGGGAGGACGTGGGAGGTGGCCGTGGTCTCACCCCTTCTTCTGCTCCCCTAAAAAAAAAAGGTGACTGATGCCGGCAGGCGGCCGGCGGCAGCCCAGGCGTCGGCACGGCGGAGGAAAGCCGAGGACTCCAGCGAGAGCCGCGAGGAGGAGCCGATGGTAATCGGAGAGCCGGGGTGCGATGGGGTGGGGAGGGACCTGTGGAGGTGGCTGGTCCAAGTCCCCGACCCAGCCTTGGCCAACTAGAGCAGGGTGCTCCAAGCCTTGTCCAGCTGAGGAGATCCAAGGGTGGAGACGGCACAGCCTCTCTGGTTCTGCGCAGCAGCCCTTGTGGTGGATGGAAAAAACCCCCTAACGCCCCGTTGAAGCTTTGTGTTGTGCCTTGTGCCTCTTGCCTGGTCGCTGAAGACTGGCATCGTCCTCTCTGCACCTGCCTCTTGCGCAGCCGCCAACAGCAATCAGGTCCTGCTTTGCTGGGCGAAGCCACCTTCTCCTGTGTCCTCTGCTCCATCTTGCCTTACAACCTCTGCTGGTCTGTCCTGGACTGGAGGCCCCCAACGTGGCCCAGTGTACCCCAGGTGGGGTCTCCAAGCAGAAGCTGGAGAGAGGGTCTCTCCTTGCTAACAGCCCAGGAGGCCCTTGGCATCCCAGCCACAAGGACACCCTGCTGTCCCCTGTTCAACCTGTTGTCACCAAAAGGCTTTGGAGCAGGGCAGGCAGGTGGGGTGGTGGGAGAGGGAAGCCACGTGGTGTCCCCTGCCCCGTCCCAACAGCAGGTCGCCACCAAACTGCTGCAAGTCCCCGTGACAGCGAGTTGCCATCGGGGTGGGCGTTGCTTGGGCTATTCCCAAGCCGCAGTACTTGGAGCATGGGCGAGTATTTTGTGTCTGGAGGGAGGGGAAAGCATCGAGTCCCTGCGGCCGGAGCCCCCTTGGTGCCCATCTGTTGATGCCTAGCCCTGGCCGGTGTCTTTTGCAGCCGCTGGACATCTCCAGCATCACTGGCTCTGCCATTAAAAGGCCGGTTTGTCCCCACCTTCAGCAAATAACCCACCCCCAGCTTCCAGCTGCGGGGAGCTGGGCTGTGAATAGTCCCCTCTGTTGGGGCAGGCGGGGGAAAAGTTCACTCCAGTTTGAAAGCAAACAGCCCAGCTCGAGGCGACTCTGCAAACCGGAGCAAAAAAAATCCTCCTTCAAAAAAGGCGACAGAAAACTTTCCTCCTGGTGAGCTCCCAGCTGCGGATCCCGCTGTCGGCACAGCCGGTGCTTTATCCTTGGGGCAGGGCAGGGGTGCTGGGGGCTCGTCCTCTCCACCCGTCTCACCCATGGGATGGAGACCTGTCCCAGGCCCTCTCCATAGGAGCACAGAGAGGTTTTTCCAGGTGCTGGCGGTGGAAAGCTGCGTGCTGGTAAGGAGAGCCGGCTTCAGGCTAGGCAGCAGTTGGGAGGCGGGAAATACGGATGGGGAAGAGGCTGGTTGTGCCTGGCTGGTCGGCAGGGGCTGGGCGAGAAGGGATGAGCCCTGCTCTGATAAATCAAGGACAGACGGACAAAGGAGGAAAACGAGGTGCCCGGCGAAGGCACGGGCTGGTGCTGGGTGAGGGCGGAGGGGGACAGCGGGAATTACATCTTGGCTTTCCCCAGGAGGAGGGGGGATCCTTCCAACGAGCGCGGCAAATTACGCCACCTCCCTAATAACGTCTTCCAAGGGCACCGCTCCCCTCCTCCGGGACGCTAATGAGTTCATTTAGGCAAAGTTTGCTAATTATTTCTTTGGCACCGTGCATCCCAACGGGCTGCGCTGTGTGGACGCTGCGGTGGTTCTCACCCGGGCTCTGCTTTCGGAGAGGGTCAGCTCCACTCTTCGGGGGTGGCACGGGCCCTCCGTGCCCAGCTGAGGCCACAGGGGACGATGACAGTGAATCCTCCTGAGGCAGGGACATCCGTTCCCCCCCTCGGTCCCATCCCGGAGGGGGCTGGTGCTGAGCGTGGCCGTCACCCGTGTGACGATGGGCTGCGACACCAGCCAGGTCCCCGTGTGACAGGCACAGCTTCCCGCCACGCCCAGCAGGTCGGCGGTTGCTTTGGAGAGGGTTGGTGGCTCTTCCTTCCCCACGTGCTAGCCGGTCCCTCGTCCCTCCTCCGCCCGCGCTCCCCGGGGTGTGATGGCAGAGCCGG